CAAAACAAGGTCTGGCACAGAACAGTTTGCTTGTTATCGCTCCTTTTCAGCGCAGAGCGGTGCCGGAAGCTGTAGCCTGCTGGCTAATTAAAGCCTCCCTGCCCTTTCAGCTGCTGCATTTTAATCACAAACCTGTAGAGTGCCAAAGGGAATAGCAAAGCGGCAGTCCCCATTTTTTTTCTTTCCTACTTTTTTTTAACAAACCAAATCACCCTGGATAAATCATTCCTCTGTTGCACAGACCGATTTAAAAAATGGTGCCCTGGCTCCGATTCTTAAGCCCGGCGGCTTCATTGCAAGTCCTTTCACCACACATTAGGGTGCTGAGCACACACTCTGCTGAGCTTGGTTACACCACCGCCGTCACCTGGTGAAGCACGCGAACGGATCTGCCTGTTGCTGAGGACATGAATATTGTGGTTTCTGATGGTTTTCTGGCTGATATGTATTCTTTATACCGCATACATCTGCAGTCACTGCTGGTTTGTGCCAGAAACACAATTAACACGATGTGCGGCCAAGCTCACACCTTAACCTTTGCATTGGTCTTGTGCTGAATGTCTAAAAGCAAAACAGCTGGTAACAGACACTTCTACTGCAATGGCTGTTTCTCTTATCAACTCGAAATCATTTTTATCCATCCTTGAACTAATACATCAACACATCAGGTGTGTCTTGGGCTCCACAGGGGAATGGACGTCTTGTGTTCCTGACAAGAGCTGCTTGCAATGCTCAGATCAGTCGCAAGCATTTTCCTACATTCCAGAGCCCCCTGACCAGCGCCTTCACCCAGGTGCATGTCTTCAGCCCTCTGCTGCTCGTTCCAACAAGGCTGAATCAGTGATTCAGTGCCCTCACTTGGGATCAGGCGCCGGAGGGCGGTGTGGTGGCTCACACCCAATCTGTCAGTCTGCCTAGGTCAACGGTCCTGCCCTCGGCTCACTACTCACACATAAAGTCTTTGCAATTTCCCATGTTAGTTAAAATCCCGAAACAACTTATCTTCACCCCAGTTCCTCGCTGCAGGAGCAGTACGTGCACACCCTTCCTGAGATCACTCCTTCTGAAGGGCGAAGCATATGAGACATGCTTTTGTCACTTTCATGCGAGGCTTTGGGCTCTTGAGTCATTGACACAAGCTTGATAAAGACTTCATCCAGAACAAGGTACTGGCAACTGGACGACGGAGGCTCCCTAAAGCTCCTCTTCTGTTTTGGGATGTCTCATGTGCTGTAGTGATATTCTTCTTTGTTAGTGTGTTAGGCTATTTTTGTGCCATGTTGTGTAAATCCTCTCATCTAAGTATCCAGACAAATTGCAACAGGTCTGCGAGATTTCCTTTTATCAGCTTGCTTGAGGGCAACGTGAGACACTGGTAACCTTTGTACAAATACTGTGACAGGTCACACTGACTGCAAAAGGACAGATTGCAAGCTCCTGAAACACACAGAGACTGACGAGGACCGAGAGGCATTTCTTAGTTTTGTAGGACACCGTATCTCCGCAGTGATACGTAGATGCGGGATAGTCTATTCAGTGTGAGCTGGTCAACCCCGTACTGCACAACTTACAGGAATTGTATTAGCGTTGTGCAAGTTAGACACTGTCCGTGTAACCCGTTTGCAATGATGGGATTTACAAGTTGAAGTATTTGGAAGTATTTAGAAAGCCGGACCTGTTTATCACAACAGAGCGTCTTTGTCCCTTCGGATTGCAAACACGTTTCAGCCTCAGAGACAGTGACCTCCAAGCAGGAGTGCGAGGATGCGCGCTTCATTGTGATGAATGCCCCCGGCACATTCAAGGCAACCTTTTTCAAAACAACAAAAGCGTCTTTCATCAGGCGAAACTCAGACCTTCGCTGCAACCTGCTAGATTGTAAAGCCATTGAGGAATGAAATCCGGAAAACGTGCAAGACAAATCAGTTTAGTTCTGTCTTATTTTCTGAATGGTGTTTAAATGTAGTTCTCTAGATATAGTTGACTTTCCTTTCAATATACCTAGAATTATTTTACCGCTTTACCAATTCTGTTTTTAATATAGAACACCCTCGTTGTTGACGGATTTTTTATTTTCATGAAGACGCACTTGAAGATCGTGTTGGGCCATATTTGTGTCCTGTGGTTCAATCTTCACTGCGTTATAAAAAAACCAAAGAACCAAATAAAAGCAAGAATATAAAATCTTTAGGTGCTTTAATCAAATGTGTTTGCGTTCCATATGAGAACATATGAGACTTACATAACAATAATTCGAAACCTGTAATGCAAATTTGAAATTCACAGAAAAAAAAACAGAAGAAAGGGAGTTTAATTGTGAATCTCCGAACGTCAGTAAGTCTACCTCGTTCTTGTTTTTTTGAATGAATGACATTCTTACAAATGTCTAGAGAACCTTGCAAAACGAAAATAACATTTAGGGACTTCTGAAAGCCTCTCAGTATCAAATATCTTGAAAAAAAAAACCCGGTAAAGACTTAAATAATAAAATTGAATAAGCAGTAAGGCGTATTGTCAGAATCTAGGCGAGATGCACTCGCCATAAAAATTAACAGCATTTAAGTGATTTGGCAAATTGAAGGAACACTGCGAGTTGAAAACCCCATGTCTTGTAGTCTTAGTTGCAATTTGGGGGGCCTCGCTTGGACTTGGGGCTCTACCGAAAGCAATGCTTATTTTCACGCGGAAACGAGGGGGCGTGGACTCGTGAACCATTGTCCATGTGGAGTAAGTTAAAAAAGGAATATGTGAATTAAAATGACTAACAGTTGAAGACCATACGTCGAGAGAAACATTCCAGGAGCGGGGAAAAGACAACCCCGGCTTGTCTAATTCCCCGTCGCCGTGAAACCCGCTGCCGTGTGTTCACGCCGGCGGAATGTTAATGGTTTACAGAAGCGGTTCAGCACCACAGACCGTGGATAGCGGTCTCGCCTGATCGCTGCAGCCTGCCCGTAGCGTGCTCACCGTGTAGGACCTGTGGGCGCAGCACCCATTCCGAGCAACAGAAACTTGCTCTCTCGTACAGGAGACTTTCCGAGGTTGTGAAGGGGGGCATGTTTGTGTTCGCATACTGGTGTAATCGTTTAGATCAGTACCATTCTGGGGACAAAAGAAGGTTCCCCCCACCCCACCCCCACAGGAGGCGAACATAGCAATGTAAGAACTGTTATAAAATGAGAGGAGGCTATTACGGTAGGACCGCTTTTAGCGGAGGAATACGTTCAATTCGTTCTTGTGAAAAAGACAGGCTATCGGGTTGGAACATGGCCGAGCGGCTTGTTACAGACTCCCACGACCTTTTGTGTACAGCGGTGACTCCGGTTCTCCATTTTAAATGCGCTTTCCCTTAATTTCCCCTGGTCCTATGGATCGCTTTTCACTACTGATCCTGGGGACATCCACGGGCTTGACTTTGCAAGAGCTGAAGCGGAATTTGGAAACGTGCAGCACGTTCCCTCGTAGTCTGCTGCAGATGAAAAGGCTTCGGTTGCGTTACACGGTCAGTGCAGGACGTTGCTTTGAACTCAAGAATGTTACTCTCCTCTGGACTGATTCCAGAGCAGCGGTATCGTTTTTGCACCGTGATGACGAGAACTGCACACAAGACTTAAACGGAATCGGAAATGACACCTAAACTGGACGTGTAAAAGTCGTATTTTATCAATCGGGGTAGGACGGTTCAGGGTGCTGAATGGGGAATCTGAATAGAGAAGCAGTAACTAATAGGCTTATCGATCTAAATGACTAATTCACCAAAGAATGTCCCTTGCTGTTTAATGTTAGGGGCTCCTGTGACTCAGTGCAGTGAAGCCCCACCCTTGAGGCAAGATCTCGGCAACGTGAAATGATATTCCCATGTATGTTGTTTGTGTTATTTATTGAAAACAATATTCAAAACATTGTGAACAACAAATAAACTGAATGTTTTTGGAAATGTACCAGTCCTAAGAGTCGGTCTGCTGTGCTTTTTCGTGATCGTTTTTTTAAATATAAGTGACTTCAAAGAGAGTGAGAAGGTTGCAGTAATTGTAAAACAGTGTCTACAAACAAAACGTCGGTATCTCCAATAAAGTGTGATAGATTGTGAGTTACTGAAGAATTATCTTACAGAACAATACACAGTTGTAGGGAAACTACGCCCCGACCCTTACTCTTCTCTCTCGTGTTATTTCACTGTGTACAAAAAAACAAACACGCGAAGCAGAAGCGAAAACGCAAGAAAAACGAAAACGACAAAAACATCGGAAATCTGTTCAGTGATCTCCTACATAAAATTACTTTTTCTTTCCCAGAACAACAACAAAAAAGCGTTTTCAGACTTGTCTATTTTTATACCTTGCCCATGTTTCCATAGCAATTTCAGAGATGCAGTTGCCAAGCAACAGCATCAAATACAATAAAGAGCTAAATGAAGGCAGACTGTTTATGAAGCGCATGTTACGTCTCCGTTCGTTCGATTCTGATATTTCGTACAACGCGCATTTTTCCACCACTGGATACTTTTTTTTATATATATCAATGATTATTTTAGAAAACTATCTTTTTTTTCTGTAAAGAAACCTGTGGATAACAGTCTTTTTATTACTCTCTAGTAATAGCCTACACTGTATACAAATATATGAGGAGAAAAAAAAAAGGTTAGCAATTATCTTTCAGCTGTAGAACCCCGGGTCAGAAAATAAAACACCTGAAAATGAACTCTTTGTCGTTTCCACACTGAACTCGATAACCTGTGTCTCGCTGTCTGCGCTTCTGTGAAAACGCCAGTCCCCCTCCCACCGATATCCTCTCTCAGACAGTTCGATTCCGCTCCTCCCCGGTAACTTTTCCTCTGCCTCCCCACCCTCTACATTCAACTACACGGCTCTGCAGACGACAGCGAGACAGGTTTCACGGCCATCCACGCCCGCTTAAACAACCCCCCCCCCCCTCTTCTGTACTCTTGAGTGTGTGACTTTGGATTTGTAAGAAAAGAAACCCCACGCTGCCAGAGATACCTTCGATACAGCAGATTCTCCAAAGCCCGGAGTGTGTGAGATCCCCCTTAGTTTTCTTGGGCTGCGACTGAGTTTCGTCCGTGGTGATGTTGGTGGCATTGCATATGTACGCCCTGGAGTACAGCCAGTAGTCCGTGCCGATCGCGATGGTCATCAGACTAAATGCTGCGAATGCCCCCACTGTGGTCAACAGCGTTTGAACCCCGCGATCCCACCAAGCCATGCTGCCTCATAATACTCCGCGCTCCGTGCACACACTGAAGCCAGTCAAGCCGAGAAGCGTCCGTTCATAGTGTCCCCGGGCAGTGTCACGGCTGTTGGGTCTTAGTTCTGTCAAAGCGCATTTCCTGCGAAGTTTCAGCACTTCTCCTTGATGGGTGGCAAACTTGGATGAAAAATCCCGGACAGGAGCGTCGTGCACGGTACGGACCCGGGAACAAAAACCCTGAATACTTTCTCGAAATCTTTTGTTTTTGGTTGGGGAGGTGGGGGATAACAAAACCTTTCAGTAGCTCCCGCTGTCGGAGCCGACCGTCTCTTGCCTGCTTCTTTGCCGCTCGGTCGTCTAGCGCTCCGTCGTCTCCTTTCAGCCGGGAGCCGCTTTCACAAACTCCGACGGTTTGATTCAGAAAGCGCTTCTGAAGCGCTCCTCTGACCCCACCTTCCCCGGGAGTAACCAATGGGAAACAAACATGTAAATACTCGGCTGAGTCGGAATCGGGGAAGAAAAGAGAAATGCATCAGAAATTGGTCAGTAGGAGGAGATGGATTTCAACGTATGGAGAGCCCGAGGAGGAACGCCGTAGAGGTGTGATAGATGGAAGATGTATCAATCTTTGCTCGGCGGAAGCTGAACACGGCTTCTTTTTGCGCCTCCTCTGGAGGCAGCTGGGAGGGATGTGAAGCAGGACAGGGCAGGTGTGGACTCTCCCCTCCCCCGGGTTTCTCAACGACACCACAGCCCCCCCGAAACAACGCCCCAGCCCAATTCCAGCTGTGGGGCAAGGGAGAGTGAGGCTGAGGCCGAGGTTTTTGCAAAATGTCCTGAACCCCTGAAGTAGGTACTGCTGGGCTTGGTGTTTCATAGTGTCACCAGCACACTGCTGCTACACAGGCCTATTACATGGGTGAATCACTGAGGCGCAGGGCATCACCACGCAAACAAACAGAAAAACATTTGACTCATCCATCCACTCTCCATATCCGCTCAGTGCACTCCTGGGCTGGACCGCGATGAGCTGCAGCCTGGGTCTGCAGCCCACCCACCCTGATCTGGACGCCAGTCCATCACGGGGCATGATTCACTCATCCTCGGCTTGTGCTTTTATCTTCCGGTCACTCACCAATGAGCTTAATGAGTTCTCTGGTGGCTAAGAACATTGACTTTTTAAAATAATGCCAGTTTTTATTTGTGTAGTTTTTTTTACAAAGAGGCTAGGCCGTACGAGAACATTTAGAACTGATCCCATCATTTAGAATAGGACGAACAGTTTTGCTAACCCTGTTACAAAAGCAATAATCCTGTTCTTTAAATCTGTGCAGAGAAGAGCAACCAGATACATTACTGGGCTCAAAAGAGTGTCCTGCACTGACGGGTCAAAGGCATTGAGCCTTCTCGACCTGGAGCAGGGCAGAGCCCGAGGCCACCAGACCCACACCCTCAGAAGGTCCGCCTGGTGGACGTCTCCAGAACCAACAGTGAAACACGGACCAGTTTAGAGCACAGGTGAATGCACTTTTAAAACCAAGTACAGGGGGCTCTTCTTTACACACAGAGTTGTGGGAGCCTGGAACAAGCCACCCAGCAGTGTTGCTGGAGCCAATATCCCGGTTCCTTAACCGGAAACAGCTGGAGGAGATCCTGGCACCAACCAGCGACTGTTTATCGAATGATTCAGCCTGCCATCGTCTGGAGCCTTTCTTATGTTGTTATAGACTCTCGGGTCTCTGTAACAGATTTTGTAAGGGCACCACTAAATACCTGGAAAAGAACACTTCCAGGGTGTGTTCTCCAGTCACTACAACTGCAAAAGGGAGAAGATGAGTGTTGAGCACATGTCTCAGTTAAGTGTGTCATAAATCAGCCTGGACTGAAAGAGTGTCACAGGCCCATTAGGACATGGTGTTTTACAGAGTCCCTGAGAGCAACCTCTGCTAATTTTGCTCATCTAAAATAAGAGTGGTGTAAGTCCACATCGCCGCAATGGATCAGACATTGCCTTAGAGTCCTACCTTCTTTGCTGGGCCGGCAACAACAGTAGACTTTATTCGCAATTTGTCGGAAATTGCAGATTCTCATTATACACACAAGTGGCAAGTTGCTAGTTAGCTCTAAAAGGCCACTCAGAGCAGCCATTCAGAGCCTAGCAGATGCTCACTTTTCCAAGTCGGATGGCGAACGTCACATGTGAGCCGAGGTGCTGAAAAATTCATGACTTGGGGACTGTTGCTGCCACAGGGACTGGAACACCCGCTGAATACCCCCTCATGACTGCATTCCAGACTCTAATCCCAAGGCTAAGACAGGTAATAAGTGCAATACTCCTGAGCAGGCTCTGTGCTGATTTATAGGTACTGTTACTGTTAATAAGTAACGGGTTTATTCCACGCTGAAAAGAGAAGAAAGAAAACACAACATTTCAGCTGTGGAGCCTTCTTCCGGTGTAAGAAAGATGGGGCAGTCAGCACAGATAATATAGCTTGGGAAAACAAAGGCCAGGAGAGAGGAGGAGGCGGGAGCAGGGGAGAGGCAGGGTGGCCAATCAAGTGGTACGAGGTTGAGAGAGGTGAGGGGAGGTGTGAAACGAAACCTACAAATGAACAGAGAGAATCAGAAGGAAACAAGTCTGTCGTTGAGAGAATGGGGAAGGTGTGAGCCAAGTTTCAGGATCATTTTAGTTTCTGGTGTCTTTCTGCTATTGGAGCTTTGAGAATGCAGATGGAGAGATCAGTGTGATCATGGCCGTCAGAGGTGAAATGAGAAACAATAGGCTCTGAGAAATCTTTCATCTCCACAGCACTAACATGTTCTCTGAAGCGGTTTTCGAGTCTTCTTCCTGTTTCCCCAATGCAGAAATCTGGGCATTTACTGCAAGAGACGCAGTAAATAAGGTTGCTGGAGGTACAAGATGCCATCTGGGTGATCCAGTATTGTCCTGAGGGGCCTTGAATGAGTGTGGTGTTAGATATGTATTTGCAGGTGATACAGCGAGCTCTGTTGCAGGGGAAAGTGCCTGGTGTGGATAATAAAGTTACTGTACATTTAATGAAGCCGATGTTCTGATCTTAAGAAAAGTCCTGCTGTATATACTGTACAGTATATCTAGTTAAGAAAATAATTTGGTTAATTGACCTCCTGGGTTGGAACAAAAACAAGAAGATATGAGACCCTCAGGAAATGAGATTGCTGTATTTGTTTATTTATGTAATGGCCTTTAAATATCAGCCTTGATTCAGAACAACTTGTAGGTTTTATTTATCAAAGATAGAGCCTGCATGGTGCTGCAGGAGAAATATACTTCATCACCTACAGTACCTGTGTCTTTCTTTTAGCCAGGAATAGTGGGGCCCAGTCTGTAACATCTGAACTTGAACCAATTATTGGGACAGGAAGTGGAGCCATCTGTTTTTCCTGGTTATTCAATCGCTTATGAAAAGCAAATCTGCAACCTGCAGGATTCCAGATTTTCTGGGATGGACTTAACTGCTGGTGATGTAACCTTACTCATGTTTGATTCTGTGACTTCCTTAATCACCTTCGCAGCTGTGTGCTCATTCTCCTGGGGCACAGAGCACCTCATGTCTGACTCATCTTCTCATTTTTCTCCAGTGAAAAGGAAAGCAGCACATTTTTTACCTGCGTGTGCTTGTTTATCGGTGTGGGTGTGTGTTTATTTCACACACAGGTCAGATTCAGCCACTCAGTGGATAAGTTATATTTTCTTTCAGGATGTGATAATAATGATCTTTTAATATTCTCCCCCATTTATATAGCTCCTTTCACAATGCTTCGTGAGATACTTTAATATAAACCCAAGAGATGAAAAACTTTCAGGTTACAAATACAGTAAAGCAAAATTAAAAGCTAAAATATAAAATTGTGATTCAAGACACAGTCTGAAAGTGCTGACTGATTTGCAAGAACTGATAAGAGCTGATATGAGCTGGGACGTCATTTCACAGTCTTAGAGCAACAAATTGGTTAACTATTGCTTGAGAAGCTCAATTGATGATGATAATGAAGATGATAATAATTAAAACAACTAGCACACCAGTTTGTTTTGTATCCTTATAGGCTACCAGTACGGTTGTTCTGCATTGCCTCTCACCGAGCTATGATCTGTTATGGTTACTTCAAACATCACAATAAAATAACACACTGCCAAAATTAGCATGGAGTAGGCACTGCAGACTATGGTGTAATTGCAGCTGTCCTCTAACCCAAGCCTCCCACTGCTTCTGTCAGTTAATGCCCTGCAATAGGGTCATTATTGCTTGTATGAAATCCCAGCTGTGAATGAAAAATGTAAGGAGGATACCTGATTTTGATTAACAGCTCAGGTTCTGTCGACCCACACCGAAGTGCTTTATATACAGTATATGATTTCCTGAATGCTTTAGTACCTTTAGTGCTTGCACTTTGATCTAAGAATACATCACTGAAAGTCCTACAGCAGTGAGCTTGGTAGCAATACCAGGCTCGGTTGTACGGTGGTACTGTACAATTCACTTTTAAGTTCCCTGGTCATATTCTTACAGATGTCTTTTGTCCAGTTGCTCAGCTCCAATACTTAACATTTTGGAGGACTAGACAGGGGATGTGTAGGGGGGTGTTATTATATAACAAGAGTCCTCCGTTCCTGACAGGCCACTGTTCTGCAGGTTTTACAGATGTCTGTAAACAGCAGCAGGAAAGCAGAGAACACCTGTTAAACAGCTCCCGTTGAGCCAGTAATTAGCAGAGTTACTGCAGATTACCGGTTAGTGCCAGAAAACTACAGCGCTGTGGCCCAGCTGGACAGGATTTTAGGCTTGTGGTTGAGTCTGAAAGCAGGAGGAGTCGCAATATTCTGAGGGAGCTCCACCCAACTCCAGAGAGCCTCTATCCTCCACGTGCTTTAAATCTGTGTGGGGCACACATGTGCAATGAAGAAGGTACTGATCTGATTGTTTTTAAGAAATGGGAAAGGAAAATGTTTGGAACAACATACATGCGTTTTTATGAGGTGCCGTTTAGGCCATTATTCAAAATTTACCTCTCATACACACACAAAACGCTCCCACATTCACTAGTCTAACCTTGCACTCCTTCACAATGTGAACGTGAGAGGCAAAACTAGTGAATGTGAGTGCATTTCATGTGTATGTGAGAGGTTAAACTAATGAATGTACTGTAAGAGCGCTTTGTGTGTGCATGTGAGAGGTAAAATGGAGAGTGAGAGAGCATTTTATGTGTATGTGACAGCAATTTGTGTGTGTATGAGAAGTAAAGTTTGAGTAATGGCCTAAAAGGCACATTTTGCTTTGCTTGTCTTCAGTGCTGTCTGTGAATTTGAGCCACTAGGCCTGTGGTTTCCTATCCAGGCGAGACAAGGTTGCTCAACCACTCTTACCGATACAGGAATGGCAAACTTCTTTTAAGACCTGCAGGAACTGAAGGCGATTGACGTGCTGCTTGGAACAATCCTTTAATGGTTGCTCACTGCTTTCCAGAGTCTCAGGAATGTTTTAGGATTCTGAGGGCTTCTCCGGAGGAAGGAGATTGACTTGTGTAAATGAGTTTCAGCCTTGCTAGTGGTTGACTTCAAGAGGGACCTGT